TCATCTTCTTATATTTTCTTCACTTCTGATCATTTGTTGCTTAATGGTATTCTTCTTCATTCACTATCTTCTTCTTTCATCTCACCATACTTCAAATAATTTTCTTTACTGCTTCATCATCTTCTTTCTTCATCCTTCTTTAATTCCATTGCTTTGATTTCCTTTTCCACGTCTTCACGATTTCTCCGGATTTCCATCGGTGTCGTCTTCTTCATTTTGCTATTTTCCACTTTATCTTCTTGATCTTCTTCGTCTTTTTGCACTTAATTTTGCGTTTCGCCTTTACTTCATCATAATTTTTCTTTTGATCTTCTTCTTCCATCCGCTATCCGCTTTGTATTCTTGATGACCTTCACCTTCTTTACTTGATCTTCATCCAGTTACATGTTTGCCTTCATCACATTTTTCATTCCTTCCTTGCTCAGTTAACTGTTTCACCTTCTTGCCTCTACACCGGGTTTCGACTGCTCCATCTTCTTCACATTCTTCCTTCCTTCCTTGCTTCGTTAACTGCTTCACCTTCTTGCCGCTACACTGGGCTTCGGCTGCTCCATCTTCTTCACATTCTTCCTTCCTTGTTTGCTCCGTTATCTGCTTAACCTTCATTGCCATTACACCGGATTTCGGCTGTTCCTTCTTCTTTTCTCTGTATTCTTCAAATTTTTCGGTAAAGTCCAGTTTGGCGTAGAAAATTCAGCATATTTGTGGTTTGCTCCTCAGAGTTTCCTAGCGCATCTCGTAAGCTTGTTGTATCAATGTTGTTCTCTTGTCGTTGCCTTTCATAGTTTTTGCAGTGCAAAATCACGTGTCGCACGTCTAAATCCGTTCCACAACAACTGGGCGGGGCTTCTTTCTTCAGTAAGAACGTATGGGTTAGCCGCGTGTGACCAATTCTTAGTCGTGTTAGCACACGCTGGTCGAAAGTGCTTCCCCGTTCCGTCCACTTGTGCGTGTCGTCTTTGACTTCTCTCAGTTTAAAGTCTCTGGACGCGAACCATTGGTCGTTCCATCGTTGTCGAATGTTTTGCATCACCATTCTCAGCGTATCGTCACCTGGGATTGGTACATCAATGGGAGGTTGTGTTCTCGCCATGTTTGCCAACCGATCAGCTTCGTTGTTTCCGTGGATGCCGGCGTGTCCAGGTATCCAGCAGAAACGGACGGATTTGTTTCGTGATATTTGCTCCACTTCCTGAAACCACGGGTGCTTAGATGTTCCAGCTTCTAAGGCCTGGAGACAACTTGCAGAGTCCGTAAGAATGACTAATTCATTCGAAATGTTCGGGATGGAGACAGCCATCTTAATGGCGTACGCCTCCGCAGAAAAAACGCTACATTCTTTTGGGAGGCTGTACTTTCCCGCTAAACCATTGTTATGGAATGCGGCACCTACAGTGTTGTCGTGTTTGGATCCATCGGTGTAGATGACGGTTGATCGGTGGAAGCGGGTCGACAGTAGCTGTTGTACTACCGGGCGGACTTTCTCTGGAGGATCGCCGGCTCGTACACATTTTTTAACGTCCCACAGGATCGAAGGTTTTCGTGTGTGCCACGGACGATCGGTCTGCCGTACAAGTTGACCGACAGCGGGGAGCGCTGAGTTTGTCAGCTCATTGAGGCGATCCGATGCTCGTCGAATGAGAGGGAGGCTGTTGTTGTTCTGATTCTTTGCTAGTATCCGAATTGCAATTCGCGCGATGGATTGTGCTGCTAGCAGTTCAAACGGTAAGGTGCCCGCTTCAGCCATGATCGATTGTATCGGGCTAGTGACGAAGGCTCCGGAAGCAAACCGTACTATTTTATGGTAGGCTGGAGCGAGACTCTGTAGCGTTACTGGTCCTCCTCGGCTAACTATTCCAATACCGTACATCAGTTTCGCGGTCACTAGGGCCGATCCCACCTGCAGTAGCGATTTTCGATCGCCACGCGGAAGTTTGGCACCGATCATCTGAAGGATTCGTAACCGAGGTTCGCACGCTTTCTTCACCATTTGACAGTGAGGTTTGAAGCTCAGAGTTCGGTCTAGGGTTACACCCAGGACTCTCAAACGGTTTGTCTTCGGGATGGATACTCGGTCTATCACGATGTTACTTCCAGGTTCTCGACGTGCATTCGGACTGCAATAAAAAATGTAGGACTTTGATGCTGATATCTTGAATCCAACGCTTTTCGTCCACTTGTCGACAGCTTTGACGGCGGCTTGTAGTTTGCGATGTAGTCTTTCACCTTTTGCCCCTCGTACGACGAGGAGAATGTCGTCCGCGTACAGAAGAGTGTCGACTCCTCTCGGTATTACCCGAAAGATAGGCTGCATCGCAACGAGAAATAGAGTCACTGATAGGACAGAACCCTGTGGTACTCCATTTTCCAACTGATGTTTGCGAGACATATGTCCTCCTACAGACACCTGGAACGTCCTTTCCGATAGAAAGCTTTGAAGCATATTCATCATCCGACCACGTAATCGCCATGATTTCAGTGTGCGCAGAACTCCGTGTCGCCAGGTAGTATCGTATGCCTTCGACAGGTCCAAGGAGGCTATCAGGCAGTGTTCGTCGTGTGTTGGCAGCGATCTTTCCAACTCGGCAAAATAGGTATCAGTGCCGCGACCTGTACGAAAGGCATGCTGACGTTTGTCAAGACGTCCACTCAACTCTAGTTCGGTGGTCAATCGACGATTGAGAATTCGCTCGAACAGCTTCGCCATGCAACTGGTGAGCGATATTGGACGGAAGGCATCAGGTCCGGAATCGTTGCAGTGCGGTTTTGGAATGGGTACGACGACAGCATTCCGCCAGCTAACGGGAAATACACCCTCGTTCCAGATTCTATTGAGTAGCTCAAGAAGCGTCATTTTCGCGGGCAAAGGAAGACGTTGGAGTAACGGATACCCAATTAAGTCAGGACCAGTCGATGCACCTCGCCCTTTGTCGAGGGCCCACAGGAGCTCGTTAAGGGTGATATCGACGTTGTAGTCTTCATCAGTGTTTGATGAGAGATCCAAGGATTCTCGTTCGGCTGCTGTCTTAATCATCTGGAAAGATGAAGAGTAGCTAGAGGTTGCTGATCTTCCACTATAGCATTTCGCTAATTCCTCCGCTACTTCTTCGGGTTTGTCCGTGAATCCATTTGCTCGCTTGAGCACTACGGTTCGTTGTTGTCAATTGCCTCGCAGAGTGTTGACCGTTCTCCACAAATCGGTGGTCGAGCTAGTTGGTGAGATTTTCGCTACGAATTTATCCCACGAATTCGTTTTGGCTTGTTTGATAGTCTGTCGTGCCACTGCTCTGGCTTCCTGGAATCTAGTCAGTGCTTCGTGGTGGTCTGGGTCGGAAAGTTGTAGACGTCGCAGGGATCTCAAACATTTTCTTCGCCGTCGAGTAGCCGCCTTTACTTCGGGGCACCACCATGGTACCGCTTTTGGTCCAACACGACCGCTGGTTCGTGGTATGGACTTAGTCGCTGCGTTGATGATCATTTCGGTGAAACTGTTGACATCCCACTCGATCTCTGATCGAATACTTTCGGCGGTGATGCTTTCGTATAACGACCAGTCGGCTTGTTCGTAGAGCCATTTTTGTCGCGTCGTTCGCGAATACGACCACCCGGGAATGGACACCGTTATCGGAAAGTGGTCGCTGTTGAAGGTGTCCGAAAGGGTTCGCCAAGTGAACCTACGTGCCAAATACTCGGAGCAGAATGTCAGGTCGATTGCCGAAGTGTTACCTGTAGCCGGATCGATGCGAGTAGCGGAGCCGTTGTTGAGAATCACCAATTGTTTTTCCAGGGTTTTTTCGGCAATGAATCTGCCGAGAGCGGTTGATGTTTGTGACCCCCAAGCGAGATGGTGCGCGTTGAAGTCACCCAGAAATATAACCGGACCGTTTAGTTGCTCGAACAACTCATTCAGTGCGGCTTGACTACCCTGGATTGCACTCGGCGGAATATAGATGGATATTACTGTTACCTGCATCGGTGCGTAGATGCGTGCAGCTACGATCTGTAAAGTGGTATCGATGTGCACGCGCTCGAAAGGTATACCTTCCCGGATAGCAAGGCCTACCCCGTGCTGCCAGTGGTGTACGCTGTTCGATTCTAAGAGGAGCGTGTAGTTCCTTCCAACGAAGTGTGGTTGTAACACACTTTGGCTGACCTTCGTCTCCTGAAGTGCTACAATGGACGGTTCATGGTCGGCGATGAGGAGTTTTAGCTCGTTAATGTTGGCCCGTAGTCCTCGTAGGTTCCATTGCAGGGCGAAACAACCGCCAGGGCGACTATCCGCTGATGATAGTGATGACGAACAAGACGATGATGACGATAAACTGTGCATTCGAGTAGAAATTTCGGCCGGATTCCAGGAGGAGGTAGAAGGTGCAAGACACTCGTGACAGGTCCCACCTGCGGCCCCCTGGACATCCGCTCCCATCCTTGGAAGGGGGGAGGTTACTTCACGCTCTCCCTCCCCACACCGATTTTGCGATACTGGTTGTTGCAGTGATGATGACGGTGTCGATGTATCTCGACGGACTTCACCGGCGGAATGTCGGTTACTAGGACTGATTGTACGAACTTCACCGGCGGTATGTCGAGAGGAAAACTGCATGGGCGTTCTTTCCCCCGGAGCAGACCCAAACCGGCTACTAGGAGTGTTGTTGCAAACACTGTTGTGATTGCTAGTGTGCGCTGTTGTTGTTCCCGAAATGGAAAAAGCTTCGTGACGATGGGGTGATGGCGAAGTGCATACGTGTGGTTGTGGTTGGTGGGGAATTAATAGAGTGGTAGGTAGGTAGGTGTTCGAAAAGTTCGTTACATTAACATCGATCGCAGAGGGGGAATCTCTATCAACGGGTTGGGGTAAGACGTCCCGGACAGATCCTCCCACCTGCTGCGCTCTCGCTTGTGAGAGTGGAAGAGGTACTACACATTCCCTGCTTCCAAATCGATGGTCCAAATCGTTGTCCGTGTTCGTTGCTTGGTCGTTAATACTGCTCATTGTGATATTAGAGGGGTTGATGTCGTCGATTTTGCTGGCTAGGGGGCGTTTCGTCGATTTCAGACTCCTCGTCGACACTTAAAGTTTCAGAATCGTGCGGTGGGTTTTGTTCGGCGATCACTTTCTTCAATGGAGGACTTTGGCGACCGGGTGATGTATTGTTCGACTTGTTGCGCTTATTCTTCTTCCCAGGTTGGCTGTGTTTCGGTTCTATAACTGCAGGTGAGCGGGTCCTTAGATGCATGGATGGTCCCGCTACTCGCGACTCTCTGACTTGTTGTTGCTTATGTTGCTGCTGTTGTTGCTGCTGTTGTAGCTGCTGTTGTTGTTGCTGTTGTTGCTGCTGTTGTTGCTGCTGCTGTTGTGGTTGTTGAGCTGGTTGGCTTTCCGTATGACACATGTTTTTTATATGAGCAATCAGCTTGTCGATCTTCTCGTCCTTTCGCTTCATTGCTTCCAACAGATTAGCAATCTGGGCATCTTTCTTCTTCATCTCTCTCTCGAGTTGTTCGAGCTTTTGACGATCGACACTTGGCTGGGCTGCTGCTGCTGCGTAGCTTCTCACTCCTGCTTCAACCTGTTTTCGCGCTTCCGGGTATGTAAGATTGCGGTCGACCTTTATACGGATAACATCCGTCTCCTTCTTGTAGACAGGGCACTGGCGATTGTTCGGACGATGCGGTCCTCCACAGTTAATGCAGTGGGCAGCTTCTCCGCATTCCTCATTCTCATCAACATGGCGTTCAGCGGAACAATGCATACAACGTTGTGGACCAGGACAGCGGACGCGTGGATGACCATATCGGAAACAACCATAACAAAGCAGTGGATTTGGGTAGTATGGACGGGTAGCAACACTCAAGAGACCAATCTTAAAATTTGCGGGGTAGCTACATTTAGCGAGAGTTAGAATCAAGGTAGACGTGTTAACGCGGCTGCCGTTATCGTTGCGTGTAATTCGTTGAACACGAATCACCCCCTGTCTAATTAGTTCCAGTAACACATCTTTTTCCTCCATGTCGATCAACTCAAAACAGGAAATGACACAGCGACTAACATTCAAGTTTGGATGTGGCTGGACCAAAACCTCGGTGTCATCGATTAATGCTGTCATCTTCAACAATTTTTCAACCTGGGAAGGATTACGGACTTTCAAGGTGTATCTGGTACCTTGCGCTTCAGTTGACGCACCTTCGATAGGTCCACCTGCGACTCTTTCAACTGATTTGCCAATTAAAAAAGGATTTTTCGGCAGTGGCGCATTGTCCTTTCCGATAAGTTGCAGAAATGTTAATTCTCCGAATTTGTTCGTAGGATCCATAAACATTGGAAGTCTTCTCCCTGACCCGCCAGGGTCACCACTGCTTGCGGCCGTCATGGCCACACTACTCTACCCTACCACTACTACCGCGACCAGTTGCACGTTGGAAAAAATCAATGTAAAACGGGCAACGGTCACCCGTTGCCTACCCCAAAGATAATAGAAATAGAAAAAGAAGGGTTTTTCCTACCTTATTATCCCCTTCAACGGCTACACCACAACACACAAGGTCAAAAAACAGCTTTACCGACCTTCCGATTCAGTGAAAAAACTTTTCACCGAAACCCGAAAAAAATCAGTTTGTTCGCACTTGAATACCCTTGCTACTCGGGTCACACAGCAGTGAAACCACAATGGGCCACACTACACACCGGTAGAACGATGCGATGGCGCACCGTTGTTGTCACTTTTGCTGCTGGCAGAGGCACTTTAGTCGCACTTATTTCACTAAAATCTTCGCCGATTATGATCGGACTTTAGTCTTAGACACTAGTAATCACTATCCACTTGTTGCTAATCGCGTTTTTGGAACGAAAAAACCGCGAAAAACCACCAAATACAACGTATCCCGAGCGCGCGCACGTTTGCTACTGTTAGCAACAATGTCCCGAACTCGAATGAATAATAATAATAATAATAATAATAATAATAATAATAATAATAATAATAATAATAATAATAATAATAATAATAATAATAATAATAATAATAATAAAAATAATAATAATAATAATAATAATAATAATAATAATAATAATAATAATAATAATAATAATAATAATAATAATAATAATAATAATAATAATAATAATAATAATAATAATAATAATAATAATAATAATAATAATAATAATAATAATAATAATAATAATAATAATAATAATAATAATAATAATAATAATAATAATAATAATAATAATAATAATAATAATAATAATAATAATCTTTGACTTCTCTTAGTTTTGAGTCTCTGGTCGCGAACCATTGGTCGTTCCATCGTTGGCGAATGTTTTGCATCACCATTCTCAGCGCATCATCGCCTGGGATTGGTACATCAATGGGAGGTTGTGTTCTCGCCATGTTTGCTAATCGATCAGCTTCGTTGTTTCCGTGGATGCCGGCGTGTCCAGGTATCCAGCAGAAACGGACGGATTTGTTTCGTGATATTTGCTCCACTTCCTGAATCCACGGGTGCTTAGATGTTCCAGCTTCTAAGGCCTGGAGACAACTTGCAGAGTCCGTAAGAATGACTAATTCATTCGAAATGTTCGGAATGGAAACAGCCATCTTAATGGCGTACGCCTCCGCAGAAAAAACG